ATTATTACGGTTGCGGGAGACAAGAAAACGTCCGGTGAGGAGGTCAGTACCTTTTTCTTGAATGTCCTAACCAAGACCGATCCGGTATTATGCGGATTATGCTTATTTTATCCATCATATTGCATTTATTGAATAAGTTGATGGTTATCCTCCATACTGACATTTACTATTTTCTCATTACAGTACACTGTTTTCAATCCGAGATTCGTGACTGGCAGTAACACTGGACTGGTGAGGTTGATACTTCTCGGTGTATGAATCGTAAGGTATTATTTATTTTTTCAGAGCAATGGTATAAGACTTGCAGAGGGTGAAGATGTAAAACCGCCAGTTGATGGGGTACGTTGTTAGTTTGTTCAGGTTGTGCACTGTGTACTCACATTAGAAAATATGGTTTCTTCTCAGGACTTCGGCGCAAATGGTATCAAATATGAAGACGACATTCTGATGTCGGTGAGTGTTGATAAATTTTTCTTTTTTCATATTGAAACAGAATTTTGATTTTACTGTCATTTTACAGCATGGTTCCTCAAGTGGAAGGGAATCTGATCAGGTAAATGTTATACCCTTATGTAAAGATGATTTTCAAACTTATCAGTTCCAGCGATTCTGCAACATTATTCGACACATTCCGGTTGAAAAGTTGGCGGCGATAAATTCGGATGAATCATGCCGTCCAGCCTTAGGAAAGAGGTCCAGAATTATGATCAGACGTGTGCGGCTGTTCTTCGAAGAGATCAAGAAGTGTCTTGGAGATTCGTGTGAAGGGACCATCTTCAATGAAACAGTGCAGCTGACAGCTTGGGCTTGCGGCGTCACTCCAGACATAGTCACGAAAGTTGGGTCGCGAGACGAATTCGTATATGAACTGCTGCCCCGTGCGGACCCGAAAGAGAAGTGCACCAAAGAAGAAACGCAGCAGAAAGTATTGATAAAGTATGGTGCAAGATGGGGAGAAATTGTTAAGCATTTTATTGAGAACAAGTTGCCAAAAGACGGAATGACCGCGAACGTTCTTCATGCTGAGCTCACTCGTGCATATGTCGATTTCCGAATATCTAGGACAACGTTGTATTATTTCATTAGAGCTCTAGGTTACAAAATGATTAGCGAGCGAGGGAGACATAACATCGTCCCCGAGAGCGACAAAGCATTGTCAGTGGGAGAACTGAGGAGACTAGCTAAGGAAAGGAAAGAACAAACAAACAAACATGATGTTACTTCTGAGAGTGAGGAACATGATAGCTTTTCTGAAAGTGAAGAATGATTGTTATGTT